ACAACATCAAGGCAACACTATCTTAGGTGGATCTAAAGTCATCAGATCGAGTCAAAGAATTGACAGCGGACTCAAGCATACAATAATCCTGAAACTGGAGATTTCTCCTATCAGTGTGTGCCCATATTGCTACCCCCAGGTACAAAAGAACAAAATCAAGAGATTGATATGAGATATGTTGGAGGTCAGGATCAAACAGTTTAGTGAAAGCACCTTCTCATGCCAGTGAAGAACGACGGGAGTTAGTGTTTCTATGTGAATTATTGGGTATTGAATAAAAAAACAGTACTTGACACATTTCCCATTCCGGTGACAAATGAGCTACTGGACGAATTGTTTGAGGCTAAAGAATCCTATAAGAGTGACTTGAAGTCGGGGTACCAACAAATTCGGATGCGGCCAAATGATGTACACAAAACAACATTTCAAACTAATGAGAGTCACTATGAATTTCTGATTAAATGGAATGGATTGTCAAATAATGACGTCATATGAGATCCATACGACTTGATTCAGTAGCAGTTTCTTTTTTTTTTTTTTGATAGGATGTCTTTCGGGAGGTTAGTATTATTACACTGGCGCCTAAGGGAAATTTTCTTTTATTAGTTATTATTGTGGGGAATAAATAGGATTTATTATGCTTGTGTTGGGATGTGCAAAAGATTGCGGCCTTGAGTTCAGGGTTTGAGAGAGATGGCCTACCTCTCGAATTATAAGTGCTCATCTTTATGTATTTGAGTTGTGTTGTTTGGTGTTATTGAAATCAAATATTTAATTACCCTAATTTTTGTGGAAATCCATCCCGTTTTGTATAAAATTATTGTCTCTGGACAAAATTTCAACCCCTTCAATAATCGTAGTAGGCGTGTGTGCGACAGAAAAATGGAAAGGAGTATAGAGAAAAAGGCAATTTGCTACATTCTAAGATAAAAGAAAATCTAAAAATTCATATCACTAAATAATCAAGCAAAGAACAACATCATATAATTATCACTAGCCTTATCCACCAACTATTTGGGTTCAGCTTTGAGAATTCTAATTCTCTATTCCTTCAATTGAGTGCTTCCTGAAGCGTTAAATATATTTTTTGCAAATTTTTTTAAACAAGTTTAAAAAATCTATAACTAATGGATTAAAATCATGATATCTTGGACACAAATGAATGTAAATATCAAAAAGACTATAATTTGAGCTAATGACTTGGGATTGACAAGGCATTGCGCTCAGATATGGTCCATAAAAAGAGGCACTAAATGCATCAAGGAACTCATCTTTATAAAATAAATTAATTGCAAAAGTGCATAATAATCATGTAGTTCCTGCTTTAGTTTACGACAAGATACAATAAGTTGCTGTCCGATTGATGAGTTTGCTTTTAAAGAAGCTATATCCTTCACATTACAAAATTAATCTGGATTGCATAATACTAGCTTTACTCGAGTTCTTCAATGTGCTTGGTATCATCTATTACAGTGCTGATTGTCTAACATATAAATCAACTCAGCAAGAGTATTCTGAATTAGACAGTTGAAGCATATTCGCCGAGGGACTCATGTCAAATAGCAGCTGCAAACATTAATAAACCAAACACATTTCCACGTTTCTTACCAAGATGAACCCAGTACAATGGGCGTTTCAGTGAGTTCATCTTGATTAGCTAGTTATTTTACAAATCTATGTGTAAGTTTAATATTTTCTCAGGGGCTCATTGATACAGGAGTTAAACAACAGCCGAAAAAGCAGGATATTATTGCTTAATTCAAAATAGGGAAATACAATCTCACAAATGAAAATAGAAATAGCAACAGGAACGGCACAAGAAACTCACACTAAGGTGAATCTCGAGGTGAGGGTGGTGATCGGTGAGGGTTTGGACCTCCGAGAGATGACATTTAGCAAAAGGGCGGTTGGAAGGTAGGATAGTGGAGCAGAAGCACGGGAGTTGGAACAGGCTGTCATGGGTGGTGGTGTCCCGGGCTGTGGCAGCAACGTAGGATGGTCGGACAGCAGTAAAACAGCAGGGCGAGGGATTTCTGGGCGGCGGCGGCAAAAGGTAGAGGGAGTTGTAACTACGATGGCAGAGAAGATGAGGGAGGTAAAGGTGTTGTTGGCGGTTGAAACTGCAAAAACCAGCAACCGGGAGACTGTTCGAGGACGGCTGCAATAATTTAGGGCGGTCGGACAGTGATAAACAGCAACAGTAAAGATTGACGAGGCTGCAACAACAAAGGTAGAGGGCAGGGGAAGCAATGACCACGAAGCGGAAGGCCGGGAACAGGAACGGCAGCAACAACGAAGAGAGGGATGTGGAGAATGGAAAAGTCGGGGATAAATATCCTCACAAGAACGAGCTATAGCCGGAGCACCACTCAATCCCTAAGAAGGAGATCATCATCTTAGACGAGCTATAACCGAAGCACCGCCCTTATTGGATACAGTCCTAAAAGGGAGAAAGAGAACACTGATGGCTGTCCGGACAGAAAACATATGCCAAAACTGAAACCTAAACACGTGAACCAAATATATAAGCCGTAGGTAATTAGGATTGGGGCCACTATTAAAAGGAGGCTTCAGATCCATGTAAGGAAGGTCGGTCGGCCCTCAATTTGCTGTTTTGAGCCAGTCCCAGTTCGTTATGAAGCTTCCCGTCTGGTCCAAGTCGAAGAATTGGTTCACGGTATTGTAGCAAATGACGCCAAGTCATCTCTACGAGCAGCTCCTGCGTCAATGAAGCACCACTCAATTCTTTGAAAGGAGATCATAACCTCAAAAGAGCTATTGCCGGAGTACCACCCGCCATTGAATATAGCCCTAGAAGAGGGAAAGGGTATCGACCTGTCACGACAATGAACATACGCCAAAACTGAAAACCTAAACATATGAATAAAAAATATAAGCACTAAATAATTAGGATTGGGCCAACTATTGAAAGGCGGCGCCAAATCCACATAAGGAAGGTCGGTTGGCACTCAATTCGTTGTTCTAAACCAATCCAAGGTAGCTAGTAAATTTCCCATCCAGTCAATGTCACGGAATTGGTTTGCAGTACTGTAACAGATAACGCGGAGACACTTTTCATGCAGCTCCGGCGTCACTCATGGAGTGCATATGATCCCTACATGCCTATTTGAAACAGAATAATTGACAAGCTAGCAGATCTAATATTGTTGAAGCTAAAAAAATAGGCAATAAATTATTACTCAGGGCCTTATTTCGAAGTTCCAAAAACATAATATCGCATGAGTTTGCAGAAATGAACCCGACAGTTTTTTCTTAAATGTAATGTAACAATAATAAATTAACTTCTTAACTCACAAATAAAATACAAAAAATAGCATGGTTCCTTAACGTCACCTTAAGGGATGGCACCATGGCAATTGCTTCCTCAACAGTTTCAGGGCAGAGATTTCCAAGCACACACAGCTGCAATTTCCAACATTAAATGACCATCATGAACAGAAAAAAATTTGAATCTCATAAATTAAGCATCTAAACTAAATGTTCCATACCTCGAATTCAGCCAGTTTATTCCTACTTAGGATTCTGAGAAGTAAATTAAGGATTACATGTTCAAGAATTGGTAAGCCTAGACGAAAAAGAAAAGTAAGGATACGCATTAAGTAAATCCAAAAAATATAAATAAAAATATTTCAAATAAAAGAGGCATTTTATATTAAAAATGCACATTATCATATGATATGCCCGGATGATTAAAGGATACTCTCTAACTTGTTTTACTGCATCCTGATTCTTGTAGCGACTAAAGCGCTTAACATATTGATGTGACTTTTCAAATACCCTATAACAAAGAAAATAGCATAATTCCATTTGAATAGCAACTAAAACTACATACAATAGCGGAAAATATAATGAAAAAAAGAAAGCACTCACTGAGACATTTGATTTGTAGGATCATCAGACATCTGCTGAAGTTGCTCTAATCTTCGATCAAGAATAAGTGCAACTTCACAATTCATTAAACATTTTGCCTTCAAAAACTCTGGCAGATAGTGAACATTTTAAATGTTATTTGTTGTTTGTTTTGAGCATCAGAAAAATTAAAAGGCTATACACTTAACACCGAAGGACCACAAAGTGTGGTAATTTAAACTACGAAGGTGGGCATGTGTTTTGAACTTCAATCATACTATTTTCTCGTGTCATAATTTGACCCAAAAATTATTAGATTTGCATTAAGAGTTTATTTCCTCCTTGTATTTTATAAACTGCATATTTAAATTTGATCTAGAAAATCTACGCGCTAATGGAGCAAACATAATTAGCCTTCTAAAGCATTAATCAATATTATATTATTTTGATAAAAAATTACAATATTGGTCCTTCTACAAGCTTTCTTTTTACACAACTACACAGTTTTCATCAACATCTGCCTGTCTCCATCGCCACCAATTGCTCTTTTCACCTCCACCACCATCACTGCTATCTACTTTCACTTCACCACAGCAGATCCTACCTTCAATCACCACCATCGCTTGCATAACCACTCATAATCAAATGGTAATTGGTTCCATAACACAAAAAAAAGATGCTTTCATTAATAACCACATTGAAATAATAAAGAATCGTAGTAAGCACAGTAGAAATTCAAAATAATGCAGAATATTTTTATTGATATGAAAGAAGATATAAATAACCCTTACATGAATCCTAGAATAGAAAAGAGAATAAACAAGAAATAGCATGAAAAGAAAGATATAACACCTAATATTTCCAATTAATCAAATCATATTAATTATTTGGAGTTAAATAAAATAAAATAAAATAGAAAAGCAAAAAAATAGAAAAGGAAATAAATCAGATCAAGAAAATAAAGCTAAAATAGGAAAGGAAATAAAGTTATACAATTAAACAAATCAAATCTTCATAACTTTTAATAAGAATAAATTATTTCCTAATATAAATTCTAACACTCTCCCTCGAGTTAAAACATGGTTCAAAACCATGTTGAACTTGTATTTGAAAACATAAAAAATGGGCGAGGAAGATCCTGTGAAGTAGAACTTAAAGTCTTCATCCCGTACTGCGATTGTTTTTTATTGCAATTCTTGCAGTATCTGTAGGTAGCCGGAAGGCTCTTACAGATAATGTTACAAGAGTTTGCAGGGAAAAAAACCTGTAGAAAAAGCTGACTTCTAGTTGACTGTGGTTATCTTTGACTACAGTTCTTGCAAAGTCTGTAGATAAGCAGAAGACTCATACATGTAATGTTGCAAGGAAGTTTGCGGTGAAATAGATAACCTACAGAAAAAAACTAACTTTAGTTGACTACTGTTATCTTTGACTGCAGTTCCTGCAGTGTCTATAAATATGCAAAAGGCTCCTAGAGATAATAACACAAGGGAGTTTGCAGGAAAGTAGACAACCTCCAAAAAAAGTTGTAGGGTATAACCTGTAAAAAGAAATAAAAGGAAAAGCTCCGGAAGGACTTATTGCAGGAAAAGCTCCGAAGGAGGGTCTGATACAGAGAAAAAAAACTTCAGAGGAGGGTCTGCTCCAGGAAAGATTCCGTGGAGGGCCCAATGCAGGAAAAAATTCTAGAGGGTTTGATGCAGAAAAAGACTCCAGAGGAGGGCCCGCTGCCAAAGAGAATTTAGATGGAGGACCTGTTGCAGAAAAAGCTCCAAAGGAGGGTCTGATACATGAAAAAGCTCCATAGGAAGGCCTGTTGTAGAAAAAAGCTCAGGAGAATCTGCTGCAAGAAAGATTCTGGAGGATCTGATGCATGAAAATTTTTCGGAGGAGGGATCATGCAGGAAAAGGCTCTGGAGGAGGGCTTGCTGCAGAAAGGATTCCAGTGGAAAACCTGCTGCAAAAAAAACTCTGAAAGACCAGATACAAGAAAATGCTCCAGAAGAGTCTGCTACAGAAAAAGCTCTGGAAGAAAGTCTAATACAGGAAAGACTCTAGAGGCTGTCCTGCAGCTAAAAGTTTCACAAGAGCATTGTGTTTGCTCTATGCATGGAGAGAAAGAGCAAAGAGCACCATCATGTTTTAAATTTTTTTGTTGTAGAGGGTAAAATGATGGAAGGTCAAGAAACATCAAGTGTGCAACTCTACAAAATTCATCAGGGAAGCCTTCTCCTTGGATATTCCTAATTGAAACAGTAATAAAGCTCCCCAGCCCATTGAAATCTTCCCTAGCCAACGCACCTCTTTGCTCATGAAAATCAAATGTATAGACATGGCCAGAAGGTAAAACAGCTCTAGCAAGAGAAGTAGTTAGAGAACCACTACCAGTCCCTAACTCCAAAACTACGTAGCCTAGAATATCCTCATAAGAGGCCTTCTTCTTAGTTCTAACAATAAGAACAACAACTGAAACATCCACAGCCGGTACGCGGAAGGACATACCACTCAATTTCCCATCCAATGCAGGAAGAACTTTCCCAATAGCCTTGGTAGCTCTAGTGCTGCTGGGAATCATATTGAAACTAGCAGCTCTTCCACCCTTCAGTCCTACTAGATGGACCATCAACAGTCTCTCCCTGTGAGGCTAACGAGTCCTTCAATATGGAATCTCTTATCCAAGATAACGCATCTTTCACCTACACTAAAGCTAGTATTCATCCAACCAGAATGACAAAAATATAATGTGAAGGCTACTCCAAGAAAAAAGATGGTAACAAATGCTATGAAAAAACAAGTTGTGAAAAAAAGTAGCAACTCCAATGCTTGAAATCAATCTCACAATGAAAAATTAAGATTCAAAATATGAAAAATCCATATTAAAATACTACCTAGAAAATGACAGAGAACTGGTAGCAAAAGCAAATCACAAAAGCAACCATCTGGATAGATATTTGAAAACAATCAAATAGTCTTCCAATAGAGGTTTATTTCAAAACACCACTTAAAACAAATTAGCCGCTCAACAAGATAAATTCTCAAATGTGGTCGTCAAATCAACCTATATTGAAGAAAAGAAGAAAACTATTGTTAGAATAGTAAACTCGAAAGACCTAACACTTGACCTATGTTTTTAGTGCATAACCTATTATACAACTAACTTCCAAGAACCAAACTCAATTGAGAGGAAAATTGATGTATTGCTAATTTCTCAAATAATCTGTCATTTTCAGGACTGAACATCAGGAGGAGGATTAGCAGCAAGGTTTAAAATTATTTAATTGATTATTGACGTGTATTTTGTTTGTGAGGCAAAGCACAAGCCTCGATGTGTTTTGAGGGGATAAGCCTCAAATTAAAAAAATAATAACAATAAATTAAAATTATTGTATAAACAATCAAATTTGAAGTAAAAAAATAACAAATAATATTATAACTTATTAGCACACAAAAGAGTAATATATCAACATTATAACCAAGTAAAAAAAAAAATTGAGCAAATTTAAAATTAACATGTTAATATTGTAACATAAGATGGGTTATACAAATAGTAAAGTATCAAAGTAAGCTAAGATATCAAAATAGAACAATCAAAATAAGTTCAACATAAGACTTTCTCTCCTAATCATACTGTCTTTAACTTAAAACAAAAATAGAACAATTCTTCAACATTTTATTTTTAAACTTAAAAGTCCATATCACTATCATCACCCAATGGATTTTCATTACAATAAACGGCATAATGAATTGTTTATCTCACTCATTATCCTTATTGTATCTATATTCTTCCATCCATCATTATATTTAATCTCAATTATTTTTTTATTTATTACAGATAATCATCAATATTTATTAACATAATAACTATGTTTATAATTAAAATTTCAACTACATATTTTTATAGATAACTTTCTTTTATTTCGTGATATTTATAGTGTAAGCTGTGAGGGCTAATACATGAAGCATATTGATACTAATTTTAATTTTACATTAAAAAAAATGCAAATACCCTACAAAATTTGAGCCATTTTTTAGGTGAGGCACTTCTCAGTGTGAGCTTCAGCCTAAGTGAGATGTGCATCTAACCCCAAGACAACAAGGCGCAAGTTTTATTGTGTGTGTATGAGTGTGTGTGTGTGTGTTTTTTTTTTTTGTGTGTAAAATGCATTCAAACAGGCTTCAAGGCACTTTCGGTATTGTGCAATTTTAAATAAAGATTAGCAGTTGAAGATTTATTCCAGAACTTGCCTTCTAAAGAATGATCTTTCAAGTAGGATACAGACGCAAAAAATAGGATATGTACCCACCAAATCCTTTACTTAAAATTACAAACACATTTCAAATAATTATCTTGATGTTTGACTTCGGCACTTTCGCCCAAGACACTCAAATTTTACATAAAAAATTAATTCTTTTTCCATTTACCAATAAAAATTCAAATGAATTTCAATGTGAAATTTATAATATGGCTAAACACCCTCATAGTTCCTATACTAATCAAACTTCCAAATATTCATAACCCTTTGCTTGAATACAAAAAAATGTATGGGCATCAACTAGAGCAAAAGATACGCATGGAGCAAGCTAGTTTATTTCAGTTTCATCAATGATCATATCTATCTCACATAAGTTTTTTTTAATGAAAGAAAATTTTGAAGAGAGAATTTTCAAATAATTTAATAATATGATTCACACTCAATTTTAGTCCAAAATCCAAATCCAAAAAATTGATAACGCAAAGGAATGCTTTAAAGAGAACTTAGAAAATTATCTCATACATTAAAGATTATCCAGCTAAGCTCCAGCGTCAATATCTTTCAATCAAATGAGATTGTCAAAAGAAAACTAAACGCCTCTTGGAGATAGCTAGATCACCAATATTCTCCAAAAAAATTTCTAATATTTTTTTAAAAAAATATCATCTTGTGATATCGGAGTTAACCTAAATCACAATAACAAAAACAAATATTATTAAGCAAAGCAACTAGGGTTACAATCAAGACTCAAACGAAAATGAAAATATAACAAAATATGGAAAGATGCACGCAATACTCAAATATTATTAAGCAAAGTCGAGTCTTTGATATTATTTGTTGTGTGGGGACTGCAGAAAATAGGGTTGTAGGGGAAGGCTGACGTGATAGGGGTCGGGCGGTTGTGTGGAGGCAGGGACAGGGAGTGCTGATGGAATAAGGCTACGTAATTGGGGTTGGGCTGCTATGTGGGGATGCGGTAGGGAGGGCTAATGGGATGAAGGCTAGGTTGTTGTGTGGAGGTTGCGACAAGGAAGGTTGCAGGGGAAAGCTGGAGGCAAAAAGGTTAGAAAGAAGGGGGGTGAAAAGGAAAAAAGAGGGATGTCGAAGCATCAACTGCAAGCAGAAAAGGAGAATATACACAACACATCGGGACTAGTTACAGCCGGAGTACCTTCTAGCCGTCAAATACAACCCATGAAGGGAAAAGGCAGATGTCGGCGGCTGTGCTGACAGCAAAAAAAAAACTAACCCTACACATAGGAAATACTGTATTTATAATAATAAATAGTTAGGAGCACTTGGGCGGCAAACCTAACCCAAAAAATCAGGCCAGCTGGCCCCTTTGCCACCCTCCTTAAACCGGTCCAACCTTCCCAACTGGGTAGGCCCTAGTTCAATAGCCCTACATCATCTTGGCATCTCGTATCACATTAAAATAATGTCGTCAAGAATACTTAAAATTTAAACCCCATGTAAACCCTTCCATATTCATTTCCTAGCACTAATAATTTCTTTTATTCCTCTATAAATTTTTTTATGTTCAATCGTTATTGACATACATCTTGGCACCAAAGTGAATTTGACCCTAAACTATCAAGCTCCCAAATTAGTAAGGCTATAAACGCTACTTTTCAGTCACTAGAAAAAATTTACAGTTTCAAGCACATAAACAAAAATTTAAATTTACACAAAAAGAGGGGGGTGAGAGGGTTTATTTGTAGTTTATTTGATTAATTACCATCATCTCACATCAAACCCATGGATAATGAATATTTCTTATTGCCCTTTAAATCTACATAGCCTCACAAGAACTACAGAGTCTCTCAACACCTTATTAGTGTATCCAACCTACTAAAGTCTCAATATAACTACAAACTCTATCATTACACTGTCAATACACACAACTTATCAAGAATAAGCTTCATATCTTTACTAAGAAGAGAAAAAAAATTAAGTGGGTGATCAACCTATCTTTAACGCAATAAAAAACCGAAACTTAATTCAAGGACCAATGAAGTACAAACTATGAATCCATAGAAGATGATATTTATTTCCACTATCATATTAAAAAGCACCTATTTGGATTTTATACATACTCTTGACAGGATATATATTCCAAACAATGTTCATGAAGCTCTCAAGCCCTCTGAATGAAAGAAGGCTGTGATGGAAGAACTTCAAGCATTCAAAAAAAATAATACATGTACAGTTTATAAACTTACACTATAAAAAAGGTTTGATACAAATGAATTTTTGTGGTCAACTAAAAAGTAAATGGGATCCAAGAAAAATTTATTGCCTAATTTGTCGCAAATGGCTGCACCCAATCATGATTTTTTTTTCACTTGTTGCCAAACTCAACACAATTCAAATCTTACTCTTTTGCATTAAATTTGGACTAATCTTTACATCAAGTTAACAATAAAAAATACATTTATTAATTAGAAATACTTTTTTTACTCTAGACTTCCATGAGGAAATATACATATAGATCCCACCTGACTTGGAAACTAAGAGCTTGTTTACGACAGCTTTCTGACTGCTTCATTTTTTTAGACCGCCACCGCAACTCTATTTAGGAAACTGCTTTCTAGTTCCTTTCTAAAAATTTATATGGTAGAAAGCAATTTTTTTTCCTATTAAAGTGTGATGGCAGCCAGAAAGTTGCGGTCTGACTTTTTAAAATTAAAATAAATTTGTAATAATCACCGCAACTTCTTCTGCAACATCTTCACAATTGCTTCTTCAAACCATGCAGTTAGGACAAACAAACCCTAAGTAGACTCTAAAATGCCCTATAAAACTTCAAACAATCCATTTATGTTTGGTTTGAAAAATTCTTCCAAATTTAAGTGGTGAGTACATTCAGTACCACGCTAATCGCACTCTATTCTTTAAATGCAAAAATAAAAGAAAATTTGCGATTCTAATCATATATAAAGATAATATTGCATTGAAACATAATTTTAAGGAAGAGCTGACCAAATTAAAAAAATTTATGTTATAAAATTTGAGGAAAAAAATATGACAAATTAAAATATTTTCTTGGCATGGTAGCAGTAAAATCAAAATAAGGTATTGTTATTTCCCAAAAGAAGTATATTCCTGATCTACTTCAGAAAATTGAAATTCTTGGATGTAAGCATCCAAAAACTCCAATAGATTTATCGGAAAAAAAGGTATCACTACTAAAAAAATTGTTATTATAAAGGTAAGTATTAATGACCTGTGGGCAAACACAAAGACCTCTCTTACCTACCTTGATATCAAGTTCGCGGCTAGTGTTACAAGGCAAACCAATATATGAAGAGTTCTACTAAAGCCCACACGAAAGTTGTTAATTGTTTTCTAAGATACCTCAAAATGAAAACAAGAAAAACCAAATATACAAAAATCATTCACCAAAAAATAAAATAAAATTTTAACAAATCTACTTGGGTCAGAAACTCATCGGATCAGAAATATATCTCTACGAATGAGAGCTTATGTATGGGAAAATCAAATTGCACAAAGAAAACAATTTTTGGTCTCATTCAAAAAGCAATGTTGATGTTTGCAAAAATTGTGGTTGAAAAGATAGTTGGAAAAACTAGACTATCAAATGAAAAACTCTAAAAGTATACTGTGATAATTAGATTATTATAAATATTGCAATAATAATAATAATAATATGCAAATCACGCCATGACTACACACCATAAGATAGACTAACATTTCATCTTATAAAAAACTATATTCTAGCAAACTCTTAAATAACTTTACAACGAAAGGCGTCTTGCCCCAGGCGTAAAAATGTCCCTGTAGGAACAGTTCAGTACAGGCCAAAGAGGGACCGACTGGTCCTTCTAAGCATGGGTTTCCCTCCAATTTGGAGAGGGGCCTACTATTTACCCTATATATATATATATATATAGCATTTAATTGATATAATTATGACTTTTGTTCATTTTTATACATTAACGATTTACATTTCTAAATTGAAATATTTTTTTTGGAACAACTAGGATAATTAACACAATGTCTCACCTCCGACCAACATGCAACATGCTTACCATTACAGAAGGGAAACAAAAAGGAAATCAATCAAAGCAACAACAAATACATTTTTGTTCCATGATTATATTTTTGTCTCGGCTAACAAACAGACCATAAGATCTAGCAACACAACCAAAAAATCAGCATTCTTCAACAATTTTTAACACCGTTTGTGATTGCATTCACAACATTGCTAGAATTACAGGATAAAACTACATAAAATTCACAGCAACATCCCTGTCAAAAGACATACTCATATAGTTGATATCGAAGCACCATAGACGCAACAAAACAAAAGTAGATAAATGTTCAAATATCCTAAATTCAGCGAGGTAAAAGACATCAAAACAAAAGCATAAAGTTCAACGTGGAGGTAGTAGGCTTGGTTTTAAGCCCTTTCACTATGAATCCTCCTGGCAGGTTGAATGTCTTTAGGCATCATGGTCACCCTCTTTGCATGGATAGCACAAAGGTTTGTGTCTTCAAAGAGGCCAACAAGGTAGGCTTCTGCAGCTTCCTGCAATGCAAGCACTGCATGGCTCTGGAAACGCAGATCAGTCTTGAAGTCCTGAGCAATTTCTCTCACAAGTCTCTGACAGGGAAGCTTCCTGATCAACAGTTCAATGCTTTTCTGATACTTGCGAATTTCTCTGAGAGCAACTGCACTGGGTTGATAACGATGGGGCTTCTTAACTCCACCAGTGGTAGGGGCAAACTTCCGAGCAGCCTTTGTAGCAAGTTGCTTCCTGGGAGCCTTCCCTCCAGTGGACTTCCGAGCAGTTTGCTTGGTACGAGCCATCTCGGCTAAGTTCTCTTCTTTTCGCTTTCCCTCGTAGAAGCAAAACTTCAAATCTGATAGACCTAGTTATTGGTTGTTTTTTATGGTGGTCTTGCTTTCAGTTTTCAGCTAGAACAGCCGAAGACGTCCAGTTTTTCCTCCTAGAGTTGTATATGAAGGCAAGAAGGTGCTCTGGCTGTAACTCGTCCTAAAAGGGTTTTTATCTATCGCGCCCTGCTTCCCATAGCCTCCCCTACTTGTTGTCCTTGTCTCCAAGTCTTCCAACCTACTTTCCTTTGCCGCCAAAGCCTTCCAACCTATTGTTCCTTTGTCGCTAGCCTTCCCTACTTGTTGCCCCTTATCACCAAGCCTTCCAACCTGCTGTCCTTTGCCGCCAAGCCATCCCAACCCCCTTTCTTTCCCCAACCACAGCCCCCTACCGCTGCCTTCCTACCACCTTTAAACCAAGCCCTACTTGAGTGTTTGTATTGTGTGTCTTTGTTGTTTTTTTATTCTGACGTGTGCTGGTTGTAACCCCTATTTATTTTTTAGCAATAAAAGTTGCATCTAGCATAACCCTAATCTTATCCTAGGGTTTCTAGCATCTGTCATACTCAAACCTATCTCAACACCTCAAAATTTTCTTTCCCCACCCTACACACCTCCTTCCACCTATCCAACCCTAAATCTAACAATTCCACCGAGAAGGCAATTGTCGCAACCTGAGCAAGGTATTACCATGGATAACATCCAACAGATACTATGACATGCGCTACAAAGGCTCAAGGCCATTGAGGAAGGGACCATGGGCGAAGTGACTAACCGTAAAATTGAGGTCCAAGGAGGAGTGGCAGAAGAACAGTTGAACCCCTTCCATAGGAATGGAAAAATTATTCCATACGGACAGCATATGCAGAAATGCATACACTGTCCGATCTCCACCCTTCATTATTCTTTTTTTTTAAAAAAAAATTTAAAATGGGGCCCACCGAAATACATGTCTGCCCTGATGAACGGTGGAGATCGGACAGCGTATGCATTTCTGCATACGATGTTCGTATGGAATAATTTTTCGTAGGAATGACTTCAATCAAGAGGAGAATCGATCAGAGCGATTCAGAATTCATTATTAGAGGAGATCTAGAGAGAAGTGTCTGATAGAGGGCACAAAGATATGGGAGTTAAGTTGGGTTTGTCGGGCTTTGATGGGAGGATGAATCTTGATAATTTTCTCGAATGGATGATGCCAGTTGAGCAAATATTATAGTACAAGGGCCTGACGATAGAAGAGTGAAGCTAGTCACCATCAAGCCAACAAAGAATGCTTCCATGTGGTGGGAAAACTTAAAGAAGAAGAGACAAAGAGAAGAGCAGGACAAAATCACTTCTTGGAAGAAGATGAAGAAAGTGATGCAATGACAATACCTACCCCCACACTAACACCAAGATATTTCATAAACTCCACTACCTGCAACATAAGGAACTATTCGTGGAAGAATACATGGAAGAATTCATGCAGCTCAAGTTGAAATGTGAGCTAAAAGAGATAGAAGAGCATTCCATGGTCCGATATTTGGGAGGCCTGAAGTCTGCCATTAGTAATGTAATCCAACTGCAAAACTATAGGATATTGAGAAACGTGCAAACCTTAGCGCTGAAAGTGAAAAAACAGTAGTAGCAGTAGAGGTACCCGCCTCATTTCAGACAACCCCCCTATAGATGGAGGACCCAACATAAGCACACATGGATGAGTAGGAATGACTGGACTACAATGCAGAATAGTGGGAAGAAGCCGGAGAAGAGTAGCACACCCGATACGGTTTCAGCCTGCAAATGCTTACAATGTCATGGATATGGCAGATCACCTCCAACTGCCCAACGAGCTGAATATGTCCTTCACCTAGGAGGGTGTCATGGAGGAGTGAGTGATTAAGAAATAGCAAAGGATCAGGGGGAAGAGTATCAGCTCCAAGGAGATTAAGGGGGGAATACTAGTTGTAAGAATAGTTCTGCAGACAGAATCTAACGTGGTCTTTGCATTCATGGTAAAGTTGGATCTAACTACACGGAAACATTCCCAAACCTAGTCTCTGACATGATTGAAGAAAGGAAACGATACGCGAGTGAATCAGCAATGTCTGGTAGAGTTTTTCATTGGAGACCAACTACAGAACTAGGTGTTGTGTGATGTGGTGTCAACGGATGCTTGTCCCATCCTGCTAGGGAGGCCATGTTGATCACAAGATGCAGTATGACAGATTTAAAAACACTTATGTATTCACGAGGGAGGGGAAAAGTTTCATTCTCCTACCCATCAAGAATTCTAGAGGAGCAGCTACACCTATAGGGGATAAGCCTGAGATCCAATGCACCACTTTTTAGCAATTTACTTCAAGAACCCCAGTGATATTGGCCTTAGTCATCTTAGAACAGAAGAGGAGATAGATTCACCAGAGGTGGTTAGCCACTATTAGCAGCGTTTTAGGAGGCGATGACCAATAACCTACCAGAGCGCTAGGGTATATGCCCAAGATAAGTGTTGCCAAACATGGCAAATAAGTTGAGACTAGTGGAGTATGAGAAGTTACAGCGAAAACTGCAAGAAATCATACTTAAGGGATTGGTGAGTAAGTACCAGCACGTGTGTTGTTCTCGCATTGATGGTACCCAAGCATAACTCATAGAGTATGTGCATTGATAGTCGAGCTATCAATAGGACACTATTAAATATTGGTTCTCTATCAATCGTATGGACGACCTACTGAATCAGTTACATAGAGCTATAGTCCTTTCTAAGATTGATATGCGCAGTGGATATCATCAGATTAGTAGATTAGAAAAAACAAGGGGTGAATGGAAGACCGCCTTGAAGGCCATAGATGGGTTATATTATGAGTAGACCGTAATGTCATTTGGATTGTCAAATGCACCTAGCACCATCATGAGGCTGATGAATCAAGTGTTCCAGGCTTGCATTGGAAAGTTCTTTTTTGTTTACTTCGACGATATCCTCATCTACAGCAGTTCTGAGAGGAAGCACCTCTAGCATCTAAGGCAGGTTTTTAAAGTTCTGCAGTCGGAGAAGTTATGTCAGTGCGGGTAATAAATCCAGGCTACCAGTTCTTTCTACGTTAGAGTTTAGTGCAGATATGGAGGAGAGGGTACAAGAGATTCAGCGGACACACGAAAAGGTGTAAAAAATACCAAGAACCATAATAACCAGATGCAAGCTAATAAAACATGGAAAAAGATGAAGTTTCGAGAAGGAGATCTAGTGTGGATTAGGTTGTGGACAGAGAGGTCTTTCATGGGATCGTTATGAAAACTCAAGCCCAGAGTAATTAGACTATTTAAAATCATAAAGAAATTGAATGACAAGCTACCTTCAATGTGGCAGCATTAACTCCATACTACAAGGACACTGAAGCTTCAACAGAAGAAGCCCAAAAAAAAAAGAACGTGAGATTAATGCATGGCATCTTGCCAAAAGCGCGACAGAGTCGCGGCAGGACCGGTTTGGTCAAGGCCAAGGTTGGAGCAGGGCCCACTCCTTTTACCCCTTAGTTCTATGTGTTATTTGTTTGCTTTATGGCAATTTTGCTTTAAAGTTTTTGTCAGGACAGTCATCGCCATCAAGTTTTTCCTTCTAGGGTTATATCTAAATGTGAGAAAGTGTTTAGGTTATAAATCGTCCTGAGGTGGTGTTTATTTATCGCTCTTTGCTTCCAACAGCCTTCCTTATAACTTGTCCTTGCCGCCAAGCCTTCCAACCTGCTATCCTTTGCCATCAAAGCCTTCCTACTTGGTGACCTTTGCCTCCAAAACCATCCAACCTATTGTCTTTTGTCGTCAAAGCCTTTTTGTCTGCTATCTATTACCATTAAAGCCTTCCAACCTGTTGTTCCTTTGTTGCGAGCTTTCCCTACCTATTGTCCCTTCCCAACAAGTCTTCCAACCTATTCTCCTTTGCTGCCAAGCCATCCCAACTCCCTTTCTTTAACCAACCACAGTCGCCTTACTACAGTCTTCCCACCACCTTTAAACCAAGGCTTAACTGGGTTTATGTGTTGTGTATCTCTCAAGTTGCTTATTTCAGCGTGTGTTGGTCGTTACCCTATTTGCTTTTCAGTAATAAAAATAACATTTCTCATTGTTGTTCGGTTAACTCCGGTATCACTTTGCCTAAAAAAATATTGATAAACTAGTCAACAGGCACGACAAGATCACATATACAACCCACTTAAGTGTAAGTGTTGAAACAATAATGAATTCGTGCTCAATACATTACTATCTAACAAGCCAGTAATCTCTGGACAAAAGATTTTCATTTATAGCATTATGAGGACAGCATATTTCCACCTACAACAGTTCAACAATCCATGGCCAACATCGTTGCATCAATAGCAATCAAACAATTCAAGGCCTACAACATTCATTTTTTCGTGTGTAGCTAATTTTGAATTCTAGAATTAAGGACTTGCATTAAATTATTTCTTTACAAGATAGATATTTCCCTAGCTATTTATAGGTACAACTTCTCATCAAATTATTTGCACAAATTAAGGAAATAAAATTCAATCATATGATATCTCATTTTCTCCCTTCCAGTCATCTCATTTTAATTTTCAAGAGGCCCTTTATAGTTTTCCATGTTTGTTAAAGAGAACGCAATCTAATACTCACCAAAATAATAGTTATAGAACTAGGTAGTGTACAAAAATTAGCAGAAAAGTGCTAGAATTCAAAATAAATAGAAAATTCAAGATATAGAAATTATACTCATCATTATACAAGACCGAGAAAAAAATTCCATAGAGAAAAAATAGCATGGCATTAAGCGCAAAACAATTACAAACTGCTCCTTCCACTTATTGTCAACATCAAGATGAACAGAAATACACAAAGGAACCAAAGAAAAATAAAACGACCCACAATCATAGGATACGTACAATCCAAATTCTAAATCTGCCAAAATTAGCACGTCTTCAGACACATTTTTTAAAATAAAAAAAGTTTTCTAAGCATCTATGCATTTAGATGATGAACTTCCTGACTTGCACATGAAAAAGATTCAACAACAACAACAACAACAACAAAGCTTTAATCCCACTACATGGGGTCGGCTACATGAATCTTTTTTCTCCATTGAATCCTATTTAATGTCATATTTTCATTTAGTTCTAATAAATTAAGATCATTTTTTATACAATAAGCCCAAGTCTTCCAAAGTCTACCTCTATCTTTCTTAACATAAGTCGAATCTAAAACATTTAATCTCCTAATCGGAACATCAAATGGTCGACGTTTAATGTGACCAAACCATCTAAGATGACTCTCTTTAATTTTATCTGTCAATCGAGCTACACCAACCCTATCATGTATATTTTCATTTTGCATTTTGTCTCTAAGTGTAAAGCCACTCATCCACCTAATCATTCTCATCTCGACAACACTAAAACTTAGTATTATGCTTCTCTTTTAAAGGCCAACATTCAGTGCCATAGAGTATTGCGGGTCTCACCACCATCTTATAAAATTTTCTTTTCAATCTGAGTAGTACTTGTCTATCACACAAAAGACCTGAAATATTCCTCCACTTCAACCAAACAACTTGAATTCTACTATTAAAATTCCCATCTACATCACCATCGCTTTGAACAACATACCCGAGATATCTAAATCGTTCACACCTTTTAATAATTTGATCAACCAAAGTTACACTTCTATCACTAGAGCTACTATTACTACTAAAATTACATTCATGTATTTAGTTTAATTCTACTCAAATGAAGGCCTTTAGACTCCAATGTAGACCTCCATAATTCAAGTTTTTCTTGGGCTTTTTCACTCGTCTTATCCACGAGAAGGATATCATCAGCAAAAGCATACACCAAGGCATACACCAAGGTACATCCTCCTGTAAATGTCCTATAAGACCATCCATACTAAAGCAAAAAAGAAATGAGCTTAAAGCCGATCTCTGATGTAATACAACAGAAATAGGAAAATGTTTGGTCAATCCTCCTCCAGTTCAAACACAAGTAACAGCTCTAGTATACATATCTTTAATGACTTGAATATATGTCATATCAACATCTTTCTTCTCAGGAACTCTCCAAAGGATATCTCTTGCAACCTTATCGTAAGTTTCTTTTAAATCAATATAAATCAAATATAGATCGTCCTTATTATCTCTGTACTTCTCCATCAAACCTCTCAATAAATGTATAGCTTCCATAGTAGACCTGCCCGGCATAAATCCAAATTGATTATGAGAAACCTTTGTAATACATCGTAACATATGTTCAATTACCCTCTCCCATAATTTTAAAGTATGACACATCAACTTAATTCCTCTATAATTTGCACACTCTTGAATATCCCCTTTATTTTTAAATATGGGGTCCAAAATACTCTTCCTCCACTCCTCAGACATCTTTTTAGTTTTTAAAATAATATTAAAGAGTCTGTAAGCCAAGAAACTCTCAAATCTCCTAAATATTTCAACATTTCAATTGGGATATCCTCAGGTCCTACAGACTTTCCACTTGTGGTTTTCTTTAAACTCTTCTTAAATTCTTTTTTACTAATGCGACGGTAAAAATGAAATGTTTTATTATTATTAACGATATTAACATTATTAAAGTCGATCATTTTTTCATAAACTTCATTAAAAATTTTATCAAAATAACTCACCCACTTATGTTGAATATTATTTTCTAAAAAAAACATATTTTTTTCATCTTTAATACACTGAATTTTTTTCTAAGAAAAACACTTTTTGATTTTCATCTTTAATACACTTTACTTGAGTTAATCTTTACCTTTTTTCCTTTTTGTTTGGCTAGTTTATACATATATTTTTCACCCTCCTTAGTATCAAATTTATTATAAAGATCACTAAAAGCAAAAAGTTTAGCATCACAGATTGTTCTTTTAGACTCTCTACATGACATTTGATATTTTTTCCAGTTCTCTAAACTTCTACATTTAAACCAATTTTTATAACATAATTTCTTATATTTTATCTTTTCTTGCACATTATTATTCAACCACAAACTATTATTATTTATTGACACTTTTTCATTTGATTCTCAAAGTACATTTTTTGCTACTTGTTTAATAGTGTTTGTTACTTTATTCCACATAATATTTACTTCTTCATGAACATCCCAAATTTTGAGATCTTCAATTTTACTCATTAAAAAAATTTTATTTGTGTCATTTAGGTTCCCCATCTAATTCTAAAATGATGAGTCCTATTATTCTTTACTTTACAACTCTTTGCCTTAAAATTTTGAACTAACAATCGATGTTGGATACTTAAATCCTCACTTGGAATGATCATACAATCTTTACAATCTCGACGATCTCTTCTTTTCATAAGAAAATAATCAATTTGTGTTTATTAGATCCATTCTTATAAGTAATAAGGTGTTCATCTATTTTCTTGAATAAAGTATTAGTAATAACAAAAGCATACGCTAAAACAAAATCTAAAATAGCTCTACCTTATTGATCAATCACTCCAAAATCGTGACCGCCATGAATATTTCTAAAATTTTCTACCACTCCACCGACATGTCCATTTAAATCTCCTCCACTAAAAATTTTTTTTAGGTATCATTTATATTAAATCTTCTAAGTCATTCCAGAATTTATCTTTAAACCCTATATCTGAACCTACTTGAGGAGCATGAGCACTTATAATATTAAAAATCTTAGTATCAATAATAATCTTAAGTCAATAATTCTATCTCCAATTCTATTAATTTTTATGACATTATCTTTCAATCTCTTATCTATAATTACACCCAAACCATTTCTAGTGTGACTCCTACCAGAATACCAAAGTCTAAAACCTAAGTTATCAATATTAAAATTAAAGAAGAATGGAAGAAATTTTCATTCACACATCGAGAATATAGCCACTATGAAGAAAAAAATAACCAAAGATTATACTATCTGATAGCATATAGAAGTAAAATATGTACAAGGCTGGAACAAACGATGAAAAAGAAACGAATTGCATGAACTAAGGAAACCAACTTTCAAAAATTAGCAAGCTGAGGAATATAAAGCAACAAACGAAACAAAATAGAAGAAATGGTGCTAGTGCTCCCCAGTAACCTTCGCCAATTTTGAGTTCGGCGGCATTTTCTTCCTCCTCGGCCGACATAGTGACACCCAAATCCAAGCCTAGGAAATGAAAACAGCATCGGTGTGTAAGCGAGGTAGAGTGTGATGAGAAACAGCGAGCCACGGAGGCTGAGGGTGAGAGCAAGAGAAGAAACCTGGAACCCACTGGCCCTACTCGGTTGCACTTAGCTCGACCAGGAGGCTGTTTGGCAGCCGGTTTTACGCAGGATTTAAACTAAATCCAATCCTGCCAAACAGCAAAAAAAAAGCCTCCGTAAATCCTGAGCTCCCGTAATCCCAAAATGACGCCGACTCGCCATAAATCTAGGTTTTACCTTTCTCAATGAGTTCTGGCAGCAGCGGAGCGGAGCAGACCGATGGAGTTTCAGTAGTCTCTGTAAGCCACGATCCCGTCGCTGCCTTCCCAGCAGCTATCTATGATGGCGAGTGTATCACAAAGGTTCCATTATGAAATAGATAGTTTTGGGCTAGGGTTTAGTCATATAATTATGTTCTTATTGTGAACAGCTTTTGTTCGACTCTCGCAGTATCATTTTAGCTTGAAATATTAATAATCAATTATATATATATATATATTGATGAGTATTATTTTTAAAAAATTTAGTTGACTACAAGGCTACAAATATTTATAATCAATCAAAAGTATTAATGAAGAGAATAGAATAAAAATTATTAAATTAGATTCAAATGATGTTTTAAATCTTGTCTCAATCTTTAACATCTTATGGCTACGTGATTAGAGTTGTCAAAATGAATCTTTGTTCGTGAACGGCTCGTGTTCGGCTCGCTAAGCAAATGACACGAACACGAATACACTTTCTGAAAACGAGCCGAACACAAGCGAGCCTTCGATTACACCCCTATGAACAACCACTCATTTATATCCTTATTTTCTTTATTTTTTTTCTTGATTTTTTTATCATTCAAGATTTATTAATCACTTGAACGTTAACTCACATTGATAGAGTTTGATATTTTTTCATTCTTTGACAATTTCAACGAACATCGATATTATTTTTTAATATTTTTATTGTATTTCATAAAGTCATTTTAATATAGCTCTAACATTAATTTATTTAAAATATCAAATATTATATTCCAAACTTTAATCTAGAATGTGTATTTCAATATTTTTCAAATCATAATGAAATATTTTTGGAATATATTAAAACTCATTTTCAAACCTTATTCCAATTCATTTTTGGGTTATTTTTTTTACATTATTTACACTATAAATGAACAACATTCAAACACATTTGAACATTATACGAACCATATATTTTTTTTATCAATGTTATATTCTATAATTATTTTATTGTTCAAATATACTCGAATGTATTTGTGAACCATGCTCAAATAATGTTTTTTTCATCATGTTTGAATATGATTAGAACAAGCATTCAATTCATGTAAGGAGCTAGTGCCATTCAATATATATATA